CTCTTGGAAAGCTTGACAAGTTGGATAATAGAGCCTGATTCAATTGCAATATGGACTGATTCAAAAGTGTCTCAAATATGAGGCTGTTTAGGAACCATAAATATGTATAAATGCCTATTAAAGCTTTTTTTTTCCCATTTCCAATTTTTTTTTCATTCTTTTCCAGTGTCTATAGCCCCATAGAAGAGTCTTCTTATTTTCTACAATGAAGCTTTTTAAGAGGGGAGTTATAGGAAGATATTCCTAAGTGAATCAAGGAACTGAATTTGAATCTTTCAGAATCTGAAATGTAATCGAACCATCTATTTAAAAATTATTGAAACTTTGTTTTTTCAGTATCATAGTTATCCATGGTATCCCTTCACTTCACCTTCCAAGAAGTCATATCCATAACAAATAGTGTTTTTTCAAAGGAGAGAGACAGAGAGACAGAGACAGAGAGAGAGAGAGAGAGAGAGAGAGAGAGAGAGAGAGAGAGAGAGAGAGAGAGAGAGAATCAGCACAATTGATCAATACATTGAAAAGTTTGAAAACAGGTACAATATGTAACATGTTTGGACCTCTCACCTCCACAAAAAGGTGAACTGGAGGTGTATCCTCATATCTTTCCATTTGAGCCATGCTTCATATTTATTATTTTGCTAAATTTTATTTTTTTGGGATGTGGTTTTCTTTCTATTTGCATTGTTATAATTATTTTATATCTTATTTTCTTGATTCTACTTATTAAGTTTTGTGTTAGTTTACATAAATCTTTTGAGACTTTTCTATAGTCATCACACACATCACTTGTTACAGTACTTTTCTGTTACTATTTGTTTAGCAATTCTCAAATTTTTGAGCATCTACTTTATTTCCATGTTGTTGCTATCACAAAAAGTGTTGCTATAAATACAATGAAAGCCATCTATTTGTATTCAGTATGTTTGTCTAAGGATATAGATAACACACCATCTCACCCTGCAAAGAAAAACTGCTTAAAAAAGAAAAGCTAAACAAAAAATCAAATTAAGAGCAAAGTATGGAGATTAGGTTCACTGAGAGTAATGTGTGTTTTTTTAAAAAGTCATATGTGCACCTAAGGAAAATGAAACAAAGAAAATTTCTATAGTTCTGAGTGTTTATCCACTTTCTCAAAATTATTTAAATTTTTGTTAAGACCTCATGTAGCAAAAGGTATAATCAGAGGTCTAGGTTAAGATACTAGGTGGTCTTCTAAACTATGTAACCTTGAGCAAGTCACTTAGAATTACTGAATTTCAACCAGTAATAAATCTTAGAGATCATATTTTCTGATCCCTTCACTGGAGAGATACGGAAACAGTGGCCTTCCAGAGTTAAGTGATTTGTTAGGGCCATAGAGACAGTAAATAGCAGAGGCAGAATTTTGGCTCCATTTATCCTATCATGTTGCCTCTCTTCATCTTGGGATCCTGTTCCAACTTCTGTCTCTAGCAACTCTGACCATTTCTTCATTTTAAGATGATGAAACAAGTTCAGAGAGGGTCAGTGGTTTACCAAACATCGCCCAGCTTGCTGTTGACAGGCCAAGAATCTATTTCTCTTGATGCCCAGTCCATTTTTTTTTTCTTCACTAAACTATGTATGCATTTCCTTTAAGAGATAATTGGTGGACAAAGCTAGTCTGTATTCAAATGAATTTTTCCTTTATCTTTTCTCCTAAAAATGGGCTTAAAATAAGAGCTAAGTAATCTACATTAGGTTATCATATGATATATTTTTCAGCTTTATCACTGTTTTTCACATAACTCTTCTATATTGTATTTTGCATATAATTTCTTACAGCATTTTAAACACATCTAAACAAAACTACTTAACACATGTTAGATTAATTTGAAAGACTAAGGCATGACATCCTACTATCCCTTTCATATCAGGGAATGAATTTTGCTTAAGTGATTTTGAAGAAATGTACTAATTTGATGTTTGTAAGTTGTATAAAAACAGCCTTCAAAATATACAAAATGTTCCACATTAGAAAAAATTTGTTCAAATTGAACAAAACAACCCCACATTATTTTCATGCATTTAAAGGAAGGCTGATGATGAATAAGTATTATTCTATTACTAGGCAGTTAGAATGTCTTTTACAGGCAGAAGCTATTCTAGGATATACAAAGAAATTAAAATGTGAAATTCTCCAAAAAGGTATCCTAGATATCCAGATGCATGACAAGGCTATGGAGATCAGATAGTAATAGCATGAATGAATAATGAAAGTGCCAAAATCAATCTGATTTTATTACAAATTAGAAAGACTTTTTTCCCCCGTTTTGAACCCATGTATCCATAAACACTGAAAATAACAAGTGAGTTTGTTTCATAGTATACCATTTCCACGTTACTTGAGTTTAAAGGCATCCAATACATGACACTCATTTAGATGTTACCCATCAGAAAATTCCTCATTGCCATTCATTTTATTACTTAGTTGAAGAGAGACAATACCAAACTTGCATTTAACAAAGTTAATGATGGGTTTATTTTCTTTTTAACAAAAAAAAAAAAAGAAAAAGAATCTGGAGACAATCAGTTTTGTTGGAGGAAAAACAAAGAAAATTTCATCAAAGAATACATAAAGGCTGCCCTTGGAGCACAAGATTTAAACTAAGGAACAAAGCTGATATTGGTCATGATGGGCTGGCAGCTGGCCTGGGATTTCTTAAATAAAAGATACAGCCACACCAGGAAGCTTCTAGCTAACTGTCCAGTATTGTGATCAATTACAGCAGGGTCTCTTGCTTTTGGGATCCTTGCTGATCAGTTCAGGTAGGAGACTTCAGTAGTACATTCTAAATCACTCTGAGGTTAGACAATATTACTGTTAGCTTTGAACTGATCCACATCTTTTCACATCCCAAACAAACGTTAACCAACACTGGTCCTAAACACTTAATTTGCTCTCATTAACAATTAGCAATAGACATAACCAAAGCACTTATTCTTCCTTTTACCTCTATGGTCTATGCAATTCTGTAACTGACCTTTTGTTTTCGGTGGTGGTGTTGGTGATGGTGGTGGTGACAGTAGTAGTAGTAGTAGTAGTAGTAGTAGTAGTAGTAGTAGTAGTAGTAGTAGTAGTAATATTAATAATAGGTATAACATATAGTGCATACTATTTGCTAGACACTGCTAATTACATTATAATTCTCATCTCATTTGATCCTCATAACAAATCTGGGATCAAGGTGCTATTATTTTCCCCATTTTACAGTTGTGGCAACTGAGACAGACAGAGTTTAAATGGCTTGCCCAGGGTGGCCCAGCTAGTAAGTGTCTGAGGCCAAATTTGAACTCAGGTCTTCCTGACTCTAGGTCCAAGATTCTATCCACTTCTTCATATAGGCATAAGAAAAGTAAGGGACTCAGTAACGATGATGAGAGCATACCTTCTTCCCTCTCTTTCCTTCCTCTATTCTTTCCTCCCTTTCTTTTTTCCTCCCTTCCTTGCTTCCTTCCTTCCCTCCCTCTCCTCTCCCTCCTTCCATTTTTCTTTCCTCCTTCCTTCCTCACTTGTTCCTTCCCTCACTCCTTTCTTCCTTTCTTCCTCCCTCTCTCCCTTCCCTCCCTTCTCTCCCTCCATTCCTTCATTCCTTGCTTGGTTCCTTCTTTCCTTCCTTCTTTTTCCTTCCTCTCCTACTTTTCCTCCCTCCTTTCTTTCCTTCCTTGCTTGTTTCCTTCTTTCCTCTCTTCCCTCTTTCTTTTCTCCCTCCCTCCCTCCCTCTCTCCCTTCTTTCCTTCCTTCTTTTCTTTCTTCCTTCCTCCCTCCCTCCTTTTCTTTCCCTTCTCCATTCCTTCCTTTGTTTCCTTGCTTATTTCCATTCTCTCTCCTTCCCTCCCTCCTTTCCTTTTTTCTCTGTCTTTTCTCCCTCTAATTTTTTTTTCTTATTTCCTTTCTTGAGGAATTGAGGTGTCCTTACTCTTATGTTCTTTTGCTACTGCTTGTAGAGAGAAGTATTTGGAAAAGGAACAAGTAAGTGACTGCAATCAGAGCATGAGCCATCAGCTCTCTCAGCAGGCAGTGGCAGATAGTGAAGTTTCTACTTTGTTTTGAAATTGGTAGAATGCTTTATACTGTTTCTATCCTGCAAGTCACAGACATGTGCTGGCTTTCAGGACTAGGCAAAACTGATTTCTCAAATACAGATTTTTCTAGAAGAAAAGTGAACTAGGAAATAATAAAGATCATTAATCTTTCCCTCTAAGTGTTCATCCTACACTGATCAAAAGAATGAATACAACTATGGATTTAACAGGCTGATATCCCTGTATCTTTTTAGGGAGGCTGTATCATAATAACTTTTATGAAGAAGTGTAAATCTATAGACCTAATGGTATATCAGATACAGAACAAAAGGAGATGCTTATGTTCTTCAAAACACAATTTGTCAAGGAGACACTATGCTACACACATATATACATATACACACACAAACAAACATGATTCTGTCTGGTACATTTATGAATAAGTTAATTTCCTCAAATTATAATGCAAAGGGTTACAAAGGGATCAATTTTTTTAATTTAGCCATTGATTCATACATTCTACAAATAGTTATCAAGCCCTTTCCACCACGGATTAAATTATCATCACTCTGCTGATAATTCCCATATATGTGTGTGTGTGTGTATACACACACACAAATATCTATATCTATATCTGTATCTATATCTATGGAAACAGAACAGAAATCAAGATATATATGGGTGGGATAGACACCACTTACCCAAATAAAAATTCAGAGGTTTCTTTCAGTAGAAACAGAAGTTTTATTCTAGCAAGTCTCTCGTGAGAATTGGGCATCTACCCGGGGAGGACTGGAGTAGGGAGGCAAGATACAGGCAGCAAACAAGCAGTTATATACCCTTAGACAAACAACTCTAAGAACCCCTCCCCCCACTTGTTTATCCTCATTGGTTGAGGTGAGAGACCTCACATTCTATTTAGAAACTAAGAGATACATTTTACCCAAAACAAGCTTGGGAGCTAGAAGACTGGCATATTTGGCAAAGGTAAGGCTGCGGTGATGGTTACAAAACAAGGGAGGGGGTGGGCAACAGATGTATGACCCGATCATATGATTTACAGGAAAACGAAACTTAGGCCCAGCTAATGCTAAAACCTTAACTAAATTTTGGGGCATAGCTTCCATTTCATATGCGAAACTTTCACTTGTCCCACACATATATGCATATATACATGTATATAGATACATACACATAAATATATAAATTTCTGTTCTGTGGATATATATAATCTCTCTCTCTCTCTCTCTCTATATATATATATATATATAGATTATATATATACACATACATATATAAAATATAAATATACATCCTTAATTTCTATTCTGTGCTTACCTTGAATCATCTGTTGGATGTTGTGTATTCTCTTAAGCTCAGCACATCCAAAGCAGAAACCATAATCTTGTCCCCACCACCCTTCTTTGTTCTTTTCAACTCTTCTATTATTGTTGAAGGTGTTATCATTGTCTCAGTCACTAAGGCTTACAACCTCAACCTACATACAAAATTACATATAAACTCATCCTACATATAAAATCTGTTGCAAAGTCTGATTATTCTTACCTTCACAAAATCTCTCATATATGTCCCCTTCTCTTCACTCATGTAACCTTCAAACCGATGCTTTCTTGCATGGCTTCATGCTTAGACAATTTCAGTGGCCGCCTCCCTACCTCAAGTTTCCCCCTACTCCAATCCAACTTCTATTCAGCTTCCAAAATCATTTGCCTAAACTCAAGTGTCACCATAGCAACCCTTGCTAGATAAAACTCAGTTTGTTCCCTATTACCTCCAGCATCAAATTAAAAAGAAAAAAAAATCTCTATTTTGCATTTAAATCTGTTCATGACTTCACACCTTCTTATCTTTGTAGTCATATTACTCTTTGCTCCTTTCCATGGAGTCTGTGATTGAACTACACTGCCATGTTTGCTGCTTCTTGCATTGGCTACTCCATCTCTAGACTCTGTACCTTTTGTAGGGCTGCTTTGCCTGTAATACTCTTCTTCTTCTTCTTCATTTCTACCTGCAGGATTCACTTCAAGACTCAATTTAAAAATCTATTATCTTCAGGAAGCTTTTCCCTTTCTTTCTTACTATTGCTGCCTACCCTTTGACTTGCCTTACTTGTATGCACGTAGATATTTGCATATTGTCTCCACCCACCATTAGAATATAAGCTTTTGAGGACAGGGCTATTTCTCTCTCTCTCTCTCTCTCTCCTCTCTCTCTCTCTCTCTCTCTCTCTCTTTTGTATCTTCAACACTTAGCATATTGCCAGGCAAATAATAAGTACTTAATAAATACTTTTTTTGCATTTATTAAATGTAAATTAAGACTGATAGATTGCTGTTCATTATGTTAGGTACTGGGGCATATATATGTATGTGTGTTTATGTATATGTGTGTGTGTGTGTGTGTGTATGAGTGTATGCCATTAGATGCCCACAAGAAGACAAGAAGATTATATCTTTTAAGGGTAATAAGACATTCATAAAAATAAATAAAACTCTAATAAGAATATGATCAGAAGTATGTTCTAACATGAACCTAATTGGTGCACAATTTTTTTTTTGGGGGAGGGAGCTAGGCAATGGGATTAAGTGACTTACCTAGGGTCACACAGCTAGTAAGTGTTATGTGTCTGAGGCTGGATTTGAACTCAGGTCTTCCTGAATCCTGGGCCAGTGTTCTATCCACTGTGCCACCTAGATGCCCCTTGGTGCACAATTTTAAAAAATAATTAAAATAATCAACTACAGAATATAATTCAAATGTCTTCAACATAACTGATTTAAATGAGCTATTGATCTTGATGGGAATGGTAAAAAGGAACAAGCATCCATGGTAAGGATTATCATTTGCTATGGAAATTTAACCCATATAAATCAATGCCACAATGGAATATAAAGGAGTCTATAAAGCACCTCTGTCAGCAGACATTTGATTTCTTTGCCAAATAAATTGATGCCCATGATGCATGACAATATTGTAAAATATCAGCTCATTTACAAAATCTTTTGGGAAGTAATCCAGTCATGATGGCAGATTAAAAGGAGTCAGAATAAGTCTACTCTCCCTCATAACTATTCCACAGACACCCAGAAAAAGCACCAGACTTAATCTTGCTTGGGAAATCTACAGCAACAACAAAGACAACAAACATGAGTCATTTTTTTTTAGCATAGGTCAACATAGGTAAACAAAGTAGTACCCTAACCAGTAACACTATGTGGAGCTTCTCAGTAATAAACAGGTGCCTGGGGCTCTATACTAGGACAAGAAGAGCTCCATGATCCCCTGGAGGCACCTGATGCTGTGTAGGAAGCAAAAGCTGCATCTTTAGAGCCATGCCACAGATCTGCTTAAGGTGGTAGTTCCTGGTAGGGTGTTGTCCTCAGAATGAGGTTGTGTGCTGAGGAGCAGGGAAAAGAAGCAATCAGCAGGCTGTGTGGCTCTGACCTTAAAAGCAAAGGATGGGCTCAGATATTATCCATAAACCAGTCTGAAACCTGCGGCCAAATACCCAGGGTGAGGAGCTCAGCCCAAACTGGGGAATGGCAGGAGAGGGAGGGCTACCTGTTCCGTTACTCCACACCTGCAGTCTTCTGGCTAGTTGCCAGAATCAATCTGATGGAATTTCAACCAGGGACAAATTCAGAGTGGTGTTGTCCACACCCAAATCTAGCTTAGGAGATTGCAAAGCAAGCATGAGGAGTGCAGAAAACAAACCAGCAAAAAAAAAACAAACAAAAACAAACAAACAAAAAAACACAACAGCAAACACACAGAACAACAAAGAAACAAGCTAACACTTCACCCTGCATCAGACAGCATCAAGCTCTCTGGAAACTTACCAGTTACCAGACTGAACCACCTACACATTCTTAAAAAAAAAAAACAACAACACTTTGTACCCAGAAAATGAAAGAATGTCCAAGAAAACACAAAACTGATCCAAACAAGGCCCAGCCATTCCCTCTAGAAGTACATAGAACAGAGTCCTAACCCAAAGTCTAGTTTGTGGAAGTTAGGCAGGAAGAAAGAGTAAACAAAGAACCCCATAGTCACAGGTGAGGTGAAGACACAAACCCAGAAGAAGAAAATGACTCCAACATATCTTAAAGCAAAACATCAAAGAAAAAACATAAGTTGGGCACAAGTTCAAATAGAACCACAGGAACAAATAAAGACAGTTTTTTAAAATACAATTTTAAGACTTTTTAGAAAATAACCTAAGGATGTAAACCCACTCTAAATTCTTAGTAGGATCGAATTTTAAGGAAATTATTGGAATCTGATTATAAAACCTCTTATGTTGTTTTTCTTTGTCCTTCATTCTCAAAGAGGGCCATGACAACAGAAAATCAGGGGATGTGTTACAGTCAGCAAGAGAACTAATACATAGTAAAAATGTATACACACGCACATACACACACACAAACACACACATAAACACATATACATATATATGTGTGTATATGTATGTATATGTATATATAGTGATATGTGTGTATATAGTGATATAAATCTGTCTATCCATCTATCTATCTACCTACATGTTGTCCTAAATTAGGATGTTCACTTTTTGCCTACATACTAATTACATGAAAAAAAAAAGGTTTTATAGATCTAATGCAAAATATTTATGAATTAACATAATTGAGATTTTTGTTACAGGCTGTTTTACATCGCTCTCCTATCCTGAATCTTTAATTTATGGAGGAGTACAAATTATTCACTAGGGGGAAGATGTAAGGTAACACTGTTTTCTTATTTGAACAGAATTGGTTGCTTGAAGGGACACAGAAAGAACATGAGAAATTGATGAAATTCACTTCTGAAGAAATAAAACCTCTAAGATAAAAGAGTTGATGCATTCTGTTATAAGGCCTGGGTAGTAAAGTGTCTTTCAGGTAATGATGTCTTATTTCATCAACTTAGCATACCTGGAGAAAGATTTAGGGGGAACATTATTAAGAAGAGATCAGAATTGTGCCTGAAGTAAGGTATAATCTGATTATTTTTGGATATATTTGCTATTCTAAAAAAAGCAAATAATTTGACTAAGTTTCATAATGTTATGATTGTGGACAAGATAGAGAGATGTGGAGTCCATGGAAGTATACAACTGGAACATTGTTACATAATGTCCGAATGCCCAAAACTGGAATAGTTATAGTCATATAGAATAATACAGTAAGTTGGAGGCTTGAGGAAATGCTCAGTTTCAGATCTAACAGAATCACCAGAGTCAATGGGCAGCCATTAATGGCTCCATTTAAATTTGTATCAGAGTCTCTAGTGGTGTGAGCTTGGCATTGTACTATTTAATACAGGTTTGTAGTCCATAGATTTACAACTGAAAAGGGCCTTACAGGTCATATAGTATAATTCCCTCATTTTTATAGCTAAAAAAAAAAATGAAACTTAGAGGGGCTAAGTGGTTGGCCCAGGGTCACAAAGTGACAGAACTGACCTTTGATCCAGGATGCACTGACTTCAAAGACTATGTTCTTTCTATTTTACATGCTGCCTCATGGAAGGGAATCAAACTTGGTGTTACTATTGTGGAAACCTTTTGACATTCTTTTTTTCTTTCTTTTTCTTTCTTTCTTTTTCTTTTCTTTCTTTCTTTTTTTTTGGGGGGGTTAGGCAATGGGGTTAAGTGACTTGCCCAGGGTCACACAGCTAGTGAGTGTTTTGTGTCTGAGGCCTGGATTGAACTCAGGTCCTCCTGAGTCCAGGGCCAGTGCTCTATCCATTGTGCCACTTAGCAGCCCCACCTTTTGACATTCTAGTGGATCTCTTTTTCACAGTCCTACATTGTCCCTCTATGAATCATAGCACAAAACTCACTCCAAAACGTAAACATATTCTGGGGACTGCTGAACATGTAAGGACTTTCTTTTTTCTTTTTTCTTTTTAATTGACTTATTTTGATTTATCAACAATCACTTCTATATGCTTTTGGGTTTAAATTTTTTCTCCCCTGTCCTCCCCACCACCCTTCCCACCTTCTCCAAGACGGTGCACAATCTGATGTAGTCTATACATTTACATTCCTATTAAACATATTTTCACGTTAATGAAGTTGTAATTAAAAATTAAAACCAAGAGGAGGAACCATCAGAAAGAGGAAACAAAACCCAATAGAAGAGAAAAAAAAAAGATAGCAATTCAACTTTTAGAGTTATGATTACTATCTGTCTTTTTCTACATCCTTTTTTCCCCGTTTATGCTTTTCTTTCTCCTTTTTCCTTTCCCCCTCACTAGTGTTTTGCTTTTGACCACTGCCTCCTTCAGTCTCTCCTCCCTTCTATTATCCCTTTCCCTTTTCTTCCACTTTGCCCTTACTGCTTCTTCCCTCACTTCTACCCCCCCTCCCTTTTCTTTCCCCTTTTCCCTCCTACTGCTTATAGGGCAAGTTAGATTTCTATACCTAACTGATTGATTATGTTATTCTCTTCTTGAGCCAAATCTGATGAGAGTAAGGTTAAACCAATGCTCACCCCCCTCCGTCCCTTCCCTCTGCTGTAATAGGATTTTCTATCTTTTCCTGTAATGTAATTTACCCTTATCTGCCTCCTCCTTTCTCAGCATATTTTCTAAGATCAGACTAATCCACTTACTTGGATCCATTTAACCCACTTGATTAGATTTTTTTTATCATTACAACAAAGTCAACTAATATCCACCCCCTTTATGTATACGTCTTTAACATGGTATAATAAAAATACAGTTCTCAAGAGTTGCAAGCATCATCTTCCCTTGTAGGGATGAAAACAGTCCACTCTTATTAACAACATTTTGTATCTTTCTGTCCCATTTACCTTTTTATGTCTTTCTTGAATCTTGTACTTGAAGATCAAATTTTTTGTTGAGCTCTGGTCTTTTTATGAGGAAGGTTTGGAAGTCCCCTATTTCATTGAATATCCATCTTTTCCCTTGAAAAATCATGCTCATTTTTGCTGGGTAGTTGATCCTAGGCTGCTTTCCAAGCTCCTCTGCCTTACGGAATATCATGTTCTACACCCTGCGGTCTTTTAATGTAGAAGCTGCAAGGTCCTGTGTAATCCTGACTGTGGTTCCATGATATTAAAATTGTTTCTTTCTGGCTGCTTGCAGCACCTTCTCTTTCATCTGGTAATTTTGGAATTTTGCTATTATATTCCTTGGCGTTGTCAATTTGGAATCTCTTTCAGGTAGTGAGCTGTGTATTCTTTCTATGGTTATTTTACCTTCTGTTTCTAGGACTTCAGGCAGTTTTCCTTTATGATTTCCTGAAAGATACTGTCCAGACTCTTTTTTTCACCATGACTTTCAGGTAGTCCAATGATTTTTAAATTGTCTCCCTTAGATTGATTTTCCAGGTCAGTTGTTTTACCAATGAGGTATTTTATGTTTTCATCTATTTTTTCATTTTTTTTTGTTTCTGTTTGACTGATTCTTGCTCTTTCACAGATTCGTTAGTTTCCATTTGTGCAATTCTGGTTTTTAACAGATTGTTTTCTTCTGTTAGTTTTTGTACTTCCTTCTCCAATTGGCCAATTGTATTTTTAAGGGATTTGTTTTCTTCAGTGTACTTTTTTTTTTCCAGTTTGCCAATTGTGTTTTTTAGGGACTTGTTTTCTTCAGTGTACTTTTTTTCCAATTGGCCAATAGTATTTTTTAAGGACTCTTCTACCTCTCTCATTAGACTTTTAAAATCCTTCTTGAGCTCTTCTAAGAAGGCTTTTTTGGCTTCAGACCGGTTCATATTCCCTTTTGATGTTGCAGATGTGGGTTTGTTGACAATGCTGTCCTTTTCAGAATTTGTGTCTTGATCTTCACTCTACTCATAATATGAATCTATGGTACGTTTCTTTTTACTCATGGTGTTTCCTTATTCCCTGGCCTTTAAAGAGACTGAACTCTCCTGCTGGGGAGCAGAGGGCACTGACCCAAGCTTTTGTGTGTGGAGCCTAGGTCTTGGTCACGGGCTTTGTGTGCTGGGGCCTCTTATGTTGGCAATTGGAGGCTGTAGGGTTTTGGCAGCTTGCCTCGTGTTGGGCTGGAATCAGCAAGGCTGGAACTTTCAGGCAATTCTAGGTTGCCTGCTTTTCCTTTCCTTTAGCTTTCTTTAGCTGCTTTTAGATGGTGCTGCAGGATGTTTATCTGCCTGGGGCCCCTTGCAGTGTTGACTCCCTCATTTCTGCTAATGCACTGGGAGGTTCCTTTGCATTTGAGTGCCGAGGCACCTGGTGGTTTTCTGAGCTGGTTTCCACCCATTCCCCCACCCTCACTGAGGCACTGGAGTTCAGGTGTTGATGTTTGCCTGCTCTACCACCTGGGCTTCAAGATCTCCTCCTGGTTGACAGTTGGAGGCTGAAGGGTTCTGACAGCTTGCCTGGTGTTTGGTTGGAATCAGCAAGGCTGGGACTTTAGGAAGACTCTAGGTTGCTTTCTTCAGCTCCTTTCAGATGAATGCTGCAGGGTGCTTATTGGCCTGGGGCCCTCTGTAGTGCTGCTTCCCTTATTTTTGCTGAGGCACTGGGAGACCCATTTGCTGGGCTGCTGCACTGCTCTTCCCTGTCTTTCTTCTAGTTTAGCTGTTCCAGGGCTTTTTTTTTTTTTCCTGAGGTTATATTTCTGGATTGATAGGGCAGGGTGTTAGGGGAGGGTGAGAGCAGCTACCTTTTTACTCCGCCATCTTGGCTCCCGGAAGCAGAAGTTTCAAGGCCTTTCTAATGTATTTATAACATTAAAGTAACCAACTGCCTTTGATTTCTAAATACCACGCTGCACCAAAACTATTGCTATGATGATTGTATTTTCCTCGAGGAAGTATGTTTTTAGTGAATGACTTTGACAAAGGCATACTTATGATATCTGCAGATTACATAAAGCTAGAGTCGTTGTTCAGTTGGGTCTGACTTTTCTTGATTCCATTATTGAGTTATCTTGGCAAAGGTTTCCTTTTCCAGCTCATTTTACAGAGGACAAACAGGCAAATAGGATTAAATGACTTGCCCAGGGTCACACAGCTAGTAAGTGTCTGAAGCCTAATTTCAACTCATGAAGATGAGTCTTCCTGAGTCCAAGCCCAGTGTCCCATTTAGCTGCCTCTTTTGAAGCTGGAGCAAGATACACTAATAACTATAGCTAGAGTCTGTATAGCACCTTAAAAATTTTAAAGTGTTTTGCATATGTCATCATATTGGATTCTCATGGCAACTCTTTCAAATAATTGTCATTATCCCCAGTTTACAGATAAGGAATCTGAGGCTGGGAAATCTGAGGTTAAGTGACTTGGCCAGATTCACATAGCTAGTCATTCTCTGAATCAGGATTCAAACTCAGGTCTGCTTAATTCTGGACAGCTAAGTGGCGCAGTAAATAGAACCCTGGATGTGGAGTCAAGAAGACCTGAGTTGAAATCCAGCCTCAGACACTTGTTAGCTTTATGACCTGGACAAGTCACTTAACTCTGTTTACTTCAGTTTCCTCATCTGTATAATGAGCTGGAGAGGGAGATAATAAACCACTCTGGTATCTTTGCCAAGAAAACCCCAAATAGGGTCATGAAGATTCCAACATGACTGAAATGACTGAACAAAAAACTTTCTAATCCTGTAGTGAACACTGTATCTATTGCAGTAATCTGCCTCATGAGATCAGAAACAAACAAAAAAAATTTTGAGACACTAAAACTCCAGGCTACATCTAATTAGATAAAGATAGATGTAAAATCTTACACATGTGGTACAAATATCAGCTTCAAGTATATCAGATGGGAAAGGAATAGTTAGAACATCTGAGGAAAAGACCAGAGGAGTATGCAGCTCAATACGTCAATGACATGATTGCAGATAAGAAAATGAAAGCAATTCTAGATTACATTAAGAGAAGCATATTGTACTGTCTAGAATTCAGT